CGGCTGGCATTCCCTTCCATCAAACCCGGTAATTCCTGACATTCCAGGGCCCCATTCCATGGCAATTCCCAGCTGGCATTCCCTTCCATAAAACCTGGTAAATCCCAAAATTCCAGGGCAATTCCCGGCCCCATTCCATGGGAATTCCCTGCCCCACCCCCCGGAGGATCCATGGCTGGCATTCCCTTCCATAAAACCTGGTAATTCCCGACATTCCAGGGCAATTCCCAGCTGGCATTCCCTTCCATCAAACCTGGTAAATCCCAAAATTCCATGGGAATTCCCGACTGGCATTCCCCTCCATCAAACCCAGTAATTCCCGGCATTCCAGGGCCCCATTCCATGGGAATTCCTGGCTGCCATTCCCTTCCATCAAACCTGGTAAATCCCGACATTCCAGGGCAATTCCTGGCCCCATTCCAGGGGAATTCCTGACCCCATTCCATGGGCTCAATCCAGGTCCCTTTCCATGGGGTCAATCCCTCAGGAACTGCTCCAGGTCCATATTCCATGGGATCAATCCCTCAGGAACTGTTCCAGGTCCTTTTCCATCCTTCGGGAACTGCTCCAACCTGGGTCCCTCCCATGGGGCCCATCCCGGATCCGCCGGAATCGTCTCCACGGATCTGGTGGATCCCTCTGGCAGCTCCTCCCCATTCCCAAATCCCGCCCTCCCAACCCCCAATCCCAATCCCAGCAGGCAAACCGGGATGAGGCAGAATTGTCTCTCTATCCCAACGTTCCCACCTCCCCTTTTCCATGTTTTTCCGTGTTTTCCCAGACACGGATCAGAGCCTGAAGAAGGAAGGGCTCCTGTCCCAGGACGGGAGCAGCCTGGAGGCTCTGCTGAGGACGGACCCTCTGGAAAAACGTTCCCTGCCGGATCCCAGGATGGACGACGACAGCCTGGGCGAGTTCCCCGTCACCAACAGCCGCGCCAGGAAGGTGCCTTTTCCTGGGAATTCCGGGCGGGAAATAATTCCGGGATGAAACACTCGGGTTTTCCAACCCTTCCGGCTCCTCCCCGGCACCGAGGGCTCGGGAAAGGGGAATAAAATCATGGAAAGGGGGAGATCCGGGGGGGAAGATTCGAGGGAAGGGATGTTCTGGAGGTGAAATTTAGGGAGAGGGAATTTTATTGACCTCCCAAAAAAATTTGGGAGAGGGGAGTTTCTGGGATAGAAAAAATCCGAGGGAAAAAATTCGGGGACAGAGGGAGTTTCTGGGTTAAAAAAAAAATCCACGGAAAAAATTTAGGGAAGGGGATCCTGGTCCCAAAATTCAGGAGAGGGGAGTTTCTGGGATAAAAAAAATCTGAGGGAAAATTTCAGGGACAGAGGGAGTTTCTGGTCCCCAAATTCAGTGGGAAAGGGGATCCCAATCCCAAAATTCAGGGAGAGGGAAGTTCTGGTCCCAAAATTCAGTGGGAAGGGGAATCTGGTCCCAAAATTCAGGAGAGGGGAGTTTCTGGGATGAAAAAAAAATCCAAGGAAAATAATTCAGGGAGAGAGGGAGTTTCTGGTCCCAAAATTCAGTGGGAAGGGGATCCCGATCCTAAAATTCAGGGAGAGGGAAATTCCAGTCTCTTCCCATCCCAAGACTCCCTGATTTTCCTCCCATTCCCCCGTTATCCAAGTGCTCCAACAAGGGGATGACATCCCAGGCTCCCAAATTCCCTGGAAATCCGCCCCGGGCGTGCGACATTCCCCAGGATTTTCCTAAGATTCCACGTATTTTCCCCTTCTTGGGCTTTTCCATGGCACTTCCAGCCCGGAATCTTTTCCCAGCCCCGTTTCTTTTTTTCCCTTTTCCTTAATTGTTGTTCCTCTCCTGTGGTTTTCCCACCCTGTGGAGCCCTTCCATGGCTTTTTTTTGGGAATGAACCCTCCCAGATCCCACAAAAACCTCCCGTCCTTCCTCCTCCTCCTCCTCCTTCCCTTGGAATGGGATCTGCTCTCCCCTGCCCCACCTCCCTGCCCCGTTTTCCCGCTTTTCCCGCTTTTCCCTCAATCCCTGGGCGGGATTTGGTGGGAATAAATGGGAATAACCCCCCCCCCCGCTCTCTCCCAGCGGATCCTGGAGCCGGATGATTTCCTGGACGATTTGGATGACGAGGATTACGAGGAGGACACGCCAAAGAGGAGAGGGAAGGGCAAGGCCAAGGTGAGGATTCCTTGGAATCTTGGAAAATCCGACGGATTTGGGGGGGTCCCCAAATCCCTGAGACCTCCCAGAGCTCCCCCCTCCATCCCGGGATTGAGGAAAACTGGGATGAGCAGGAAACCCCCCCTGGGAGCCGGGATAACTCTTCCTAAGAGGGTGAATTCCCGGGATTCCTCATGGATCTGCCCCTTCCCAAAGCGGGAGAATCCCCAGGGATTTGTTCTCCAATGGCCATTCCAGGCCCTTCCCACTGCGTGGTGCTGTTGGATCACACTCGGCCCGGGATCCCGGATCCTGGGATTTGTCCTTCCCACCAAACCCTTGGAGCTCCCAATTTTCCATGAGCTGCAGCTTTTCCTGCCCTGGATTACCTGGGAATGCCCCAAAATTGCCTGGGAACACCCAAAAATTACATGGGAATGCCCAAAAATCGTCTGGGAATGCCCAAAAATGACCTGGGAACACCCTGGAATAGCCTGGGAATGCCCAAAAATTGTCTGGGAATGCCCAAAAATTGTCTGGGAATGCCCAAAAATGACCTGGGAACACCCTGGAATGGCCTGGGAATGGCCAGAAATTAGCTGTGAACACCCTGGAAGGGCCTGGGAATCCCCACAAAATTATCTGGGATCCCCAAAAATGACCTGGGAACACCCTGGAATGGGCTGGGAATTCCCCAAAATTGTCTGGGAAAGCCCAAAAATGACCTGGGAACACCCTGGAATAGCTTGGGAATGCCTGAAAATTGCCTGGAAACACTCTGGAATATCCTGGGAATGCCCAAAAATTGTATGGGAATGCCCAAAAACAACCCGGGAACAACCTGGGATGGGCTGGGAATGCCCCAGAACCACCCGTGGACGCCCCAGGAGGGTTTTTTTTGAGGGAAATCTTGGAGTTTTCCGTGTTTTTGGGTGGGAATCGTGGGGTTCCAACGGCTGCTTTTCCAGGGCAAAGGCGTGGGAGGGGCCCGGAAGAAGTTGGACGCCGCCATCCTGGAGGACCGGGACAAACCCTACGCCTGCGACAGTGAGTCCCAAAATTCCCAAAAATCCCTGGGATCGGCCAAAACGGACATTCCCACATCCAGGAAAAATTGGGATCGGAGTTTTCCCACCCGGAGCCAAGGGCTGTCCCGGAAAAATGGGGATAAACCTCTCCCAGGCTCCCAAAAAAACCTTCCAGAGGTTTTCCCGGTGGCTCTCCCCCTTTTCCCGGTGGCTTTTCCGTTGGATCCCAGTGGATTCCCAAAGCCGGAGCCGCCCTCATTAAAGAGCCACTTAATGAGTTTGGAGCTACAGATGGGATTCCCAAGGCCAAAGGATTCCCAAGGGTTGGATTCCCAAGGCCAAAGGATTCCCAAGGCCAAAGGATGGGATTCCCAAGGGTTGGATTCCCAAAGCCAAAGAGTTGGATTCCCAAGAACTTTTTGGGAGGAAAACCCCTCAGATCCAGGAAAACCCCCCAGATCCAGGAACATTTTGGGATAACCTGGGAGGAAAACCCCCAAATCCAAGAACTTTAGAGAGGAAACCCCCCAGATCCAGGAACTTTTTGGGAGGAAAACCCGCCAGATCCAGGAAAACCCCTCAGATCCAGGAACATTTTGGGATAACCAGGGAGGAAAACTCCCCAAATCCAGGAACTTTTCGGGATTACCAGGGAGGAAAACCCCCCAGATCCAGGAACTCCCCCCAGCTCCAGGAACTTTTGGGAGGAAAACCTCCCAGATCTAGGAACTTTTTGGGAGAAACTCCCCCCAGTTCCAGGAACTTTTTGGGATAACCAGGGAGCAAACCCCCCCCAGATCCAGGAACTTTTGGGAGGAAAACCCCCCAGATCCAAGAACTTTTCAAGGATAACCAGGGTGGAAAACCCCCAAATCCAGGAACTTTTTGGGAGGAAAACCCCCCAACTCCAGGAACTTTTTGGGATAACCAGGGAGGAAAAACCCCCCAGCTCCGGGAACATTTCAGGATAACTTTTCGGGATAAAACTTTTCGGGTCAGACCAGAGGCTTTGCCGTGACCTTTTTCTCTCTTCTTCGCTGCTCTCCTGCCACTTGATTCCCCCTTTTCCCTGCTCCCCCTTGGATGTGCCTGTCCCGTGTCCGTGTGTCCGTGTGTCCGTGTGTCCGTGTGTCCGTGTCCGTGTGTCCGTGCCGTGTCCGTGTCCTCTCACGACTCTCTTTCTGTGTTTCAGACAG